AATTCCTCCTGTGACAGAGAAGAAGTGAGTGTTTAGTGAGTCTAGAAATGTTCTGGTCATGAATGTCCTTCCACATGCAGGAATGAAGGATAGGAATTTTCTCAAGATAAATCTTTGTATGGTTGAATTGATTAGGTTTCTGTCTACTAAATGACTATATTATTCTAGGCCTGCATTACTTAAATAACTCCGAGATATCTTAAATGACATATTTTGGTGCTTCTAGATCTTTTAGTCACATGATTATAGACAGTCTTAGTTTTCTGCCACAGTTGGATAACTGCCTAGTATGGTGTGTTAGCTGTACATACTCCTCAGAGATCTAGCTGAACTCCAAGAGCCCCAGGTCTCTGTGTATTGGTCATACTCCTCTACTGTCACTTTTAAACAAAAGTACTGACAACCGGTACATTGTTTCATCGAACCTGACAGAATTCTATCACTTGACTCCATTCCAGCCTAATTCCTCTAATTACCGTGCATACTCAGGAAGCAGCCTGAAGAGCGAAGGCGTTTTCTCTTAGTGAAAGGCAAGGGGTCGAAAGGCCACGCTCTGGCATTTCCGATGTGCTGGACCAGCCTACGTATCACGGTTGCCATAGGAACCTGACGTCATTGCGGCGACCGTGAAGACTTAAAATAGGGACAAACATGGTCGGGCAAAAGGAGCGGGGTCCCGCCTTCAGGTGTTTGTGACTCAAATGAGGGTGTGGGTGCCCCGCGGTGGGGTCTGAACCTTCCTGGGGTGTGCAGAGACGAAAGAAGCCCAGATTCAAGTCGTCTCGTTCCCGTTTTGGCACAAGTTGCCCTGGCTGTCTCATGAGAGAGAGAACTGGGACCCTCCCGGCCCCAATGAATGTAGTGTCTTGCTCCGGGTGTCCTGGGGCTACTTTCTATGTAAAGGCGGGACGTGGGAGGATGAGACAGGTAAGGACTCTCTTAGCCCAGCGTCCCCTTACGTAAAATGAGAATAAGAATGCTCACCCACAGGATTGCTGCCACCTGCAGTGATAACACAGGTGCAAGATGATATCCCTGTGGTTGTTATGGGACGATGGGTGCTTTATGGATTCAGCTTACTTCTTATTCTTTTAGTTTTTGAAAACAACACAAATTTATTATTTTACAGTTTTGGAGTTCAAAAGTCCAAAGTAGGTCTCACTGGGTTAAAATCAAGGTGTCAACAGGGCTATGTTCCTTCTGGAATTTCTAATGTAGAATTCGTTTTTTGCTTTTTTCCAGCTTCTAGAGGCTGCGTGCATTCCTTGGTTCATGTCCTCACATTACTCTGACCTCCATATTTTGGTCACATCTACTTGTCTGATTTTATTGCCTCCCTGTTTTCCTTATAAAGACCCTTGTAATTATATCAGGCTTACCCAGATAATCCAGAATAACCTCACCATTTTAAGATCATTAACTTAATCACATCTGTAAAGTCCATTTTACCATGTAAAGTAACATATTCACTTGTTCCAGAGATTAGGACATGGATTTCTCTGGGGCAGAGGAGTATTATTCAGCCTACAGCATCGTTGTATGTTAGATACTGTGCTGAGCCTCAATTTGTCTCTTCAGATCTACACTCCACTCCTCAGCACCCTACTCTGTGCTCCAGAGGTCTGATCCTTATAGACAACATCAACTCAGATCCCTTCTCCTCAGGCTTCTAGTTGAGTTTGGCCAATAGGAGATACTAGCAAGTGAGTGAGGGAAAGATGGAGTATGTGTCCCCATTGCCAGGTTCCTTGTTGTTGGCCTACAGGTTGGTAGTAGTTGTCTTCCTCTACCAAGGGCCCAGGACATTTCCTCATTCTTAAGTTGTTATTAGGTGATAGATAGAAAGGAGAAGAAAAGGCCCTGGTGAGAAACTCACTGTACCTTCTGGTTGTTATGATCACTACCCAATTGTATCAGTGTCATTGGTCACTAACTCAGTGCCAGCATGGTTGTAGGCACAGAGTCACTTCAATAAAGCATAGTAATTGCTGGAGTCTGACTCTCCCCAGGAAGCACTTCATGGGGACAGCTAAACTTATATCAGGTGTCTGAAGGAGGTGGGCTCTGATGATCTGGGTCATGATGGGTGCTGAAGCTTCTACTTCAGACTTGTAGGACAGTAGTCCTCAGGAGATCTCCAGCAGTTCCATCCTTGGTGGGATATGATGCCTAGCTCACGTGAGTTCATAGATCTGAACAGAACTGCATTATAGAATAGTACCTGTGTAGTTCACAAAGTAGTCTAAAAGTAGAGCAGCCACTTTGATCTCATCATTGGAAAAGAGGCTCAACAGGTGGACTTCATTGCATGCATCAGCAGCTACATGCTTTGTAGTATCCCTTCAGGCCCATTTGGCAATACCATTCTTAAAGCAATGAACTGTTCAGTTGAGGAAGGAACTTGATAGTTAACATGCATTTGCAATAAATTTACACATAGTTTTCTGACTGTATAAATAATAATTCATGATTCCCATGTATCTCAGATGGCAGTTGAAATACGTAATTGGTTAGAAGATCTTCATAGTAATTTGAGATTGTAATACGCATGCTTTCATGGTTGGCATGTTTTCATCCATTCTGCAATGTAACTTTTTAAGAGGCCAATAGTTTATTAAGTGTTAGTTAAATGTCAGGTATAAGAATTTAGTATTTTTTAAAAAACCATCACTTTGTAGTTTGCCCAATTATAACGATACCCAGTCGCACCCCCTAAAATAACCAGTTAAGCCTAAGTATTATTATTATTATTTCCTAGGAAATAACATTTTCAGTTCTATAGTACCTGGGCTCCCTACCTTTTCTACCACCTTGTCTCCAGGTAAACACATTTCTATCACTATATATTTGGTTTTATGTCCTAGAAATGTATATTAAGTAGAATCATAGAGAGGATTTTAAAAGAGGAACCTGGCTTTTTTCATTCACCCTATTTAATTTTATATTTATCCATTTTGTTGCATATATCAATAGTTTATCCTTTGTTATTGCTATTATTCCAGTATATGGCTATATCACTGTTTGTTTTATCCATTCACCTGTTGATGGATATTTGGGTTTCAAATTTGAGACACTGATAAATAAAGCTGATATGAACATTTGCGAATAAGTCTTTTCATAGATATATGCATTCTTTCTTTGGGGTAAATATTTAGGAGTGCAATGACTGGATATATGGTAGATATAAGATTAACACTGTAAGAAACTGCTAAGCTGTTTCCAAAGTGGTTGTCCCACTGCTGTCACCAGCAGTGTATGAGAGTTTTATCCTCCCCAACCTTGCCAGTGCTTGATATGGTCAGACTCTTTAATTTTGGCCATTCTTATGAGAATATAGTAGTGTCTCATTGCACTTTTCATTTATATTTTCCTAATGATTAATGTTGTTGAGTATCTTTTCATGTGCTTGTTTGACATTTGTATATATGTTGTCTTTAGTGGAATGTTGATTCAAATATTTTGCCCACTTATTTACTGGAGTGTCTGTTTTCCTCTGACTTTTGTGATATTTTCTTATTCTAGATTTAAGTCCTCCATCAGATACAAGATTTTAAACACTTTCTCCTAGTCAGGGACTTGTATTTTCATTTTCTTGTCCATATATTTGGAAAAGCAGAAGTTTTTTACTTTGAGGAAGTCCAATTTATTGATTTGTTCACTTACAGATTGTGGTTTTCACGTCATGTATTAATGTAATAGCATGACTACAGAGAGAATACTTGGACATGTAATAGCAAGCAGGGATAAGCCTACATTTCCACTAGATGACAACTTCACTGTCACTCTGTATGTGGGAGAGGGTTGTGGGATGGAGCTGAGGAAGAGGAAAAACATCATTGCACAGCTTCAAAGTAACTGAGTAGGGGGATAGGACAGACATCATCACCCCATCCTCTGTTTTTCATGTGCTTTTTCATCCTCCTACTTTCCTCCTCATTCCATGTGCTTTCTTGTCTTTTTCTCTCCCATCTAGTGTAACGTCAGACAAGGGTGTTGACTCTGCAGCACAAAACCAGTAGTTTGTAGAGATGAACCAGGTGTGGTGTTGTATCTGCTAGAGAGGCTACTGAGGCAAAACTCAAGAGATCCAGATCCCATCTTGGGGACACTCTAGGTACGTTGCTACTCTTCCTTCAGATTAGTCTATAAAACAGGATAAAAATACCCAATCCTCCTGACCACCAGGAATACTCTGGAATTTAACTGTGATCTCATGTGGGAAAGCAATCTTCCCTCCTCCTTAGAAAAGTAGTGTACATTTGAGTAGATACATTAATAGGTATATTCCAGATGTCCTGGAACTCTGCATGGTAGGTATTAAGTTAATTGTACTGAAGTGTGAACTGTTTTTTTTTTTTTTTTTTTTTTTT